GGGTTGTGACATGGCCAGAACCTGTCAGCAATCTCTCTCTCTCCACTCCCATACAATAACAGCTAATGCCCGAGTCTCTACACTAGAGATCCTTCTAGTATTCTTATATACAGCCTGGGCCTTGGGGTTATTATAATTATGAGAGAGAGAAGCAGAGGGAGACCACAGAGAAGAGAGAGAAATATCTTAATAGGGTCTCGCCATCCTCCTACCCAGCTTCCTTGTTGGCTAGGACCTCGGGTGTACGCCACCATGCCCACCTGTTTGGGTTGGGCTGAGAACTGAACCTGGGCCTCCCGTGGGGCCTTAGCCTCTGCCTAACAGTGCCCTCACATTTGCACCACTGCAGTTAGCCCTAAGCCTTTGGATTTTTTAAAAGCAACATATAATTTTAAAAATCAAACCCAGATGAGTCTAACGTCTAGCCAACACTGGGTGTCAATGAACATTTTTTTGGCTCCTCAATTCCTCTAATCATTAACTGAAAATTTCCCTTAGACGGTTGTATACTTTTTACCAACATACTGGAAATTCCTTTCTACCTTGCTGTCTGAGAACAATGGCTTCTTTCCACTCGGATGTTCTCACAACAGCTGACATTGAATACCAAGGCTGTGGTGGGCCTACCAGTGTGCTCTACTTTACCAGTTTTTTTTGTTGTTGTTGTTTTATTTTCATTTACTGAATAATTAGGTTTTAAGTAATCTTTCCTCAAAAGAGTTCCCCTGCTTCCTAGAATCAACCTTGCTTTATAACTTGTGGGCCACATACTACAAATCGTATTTTATTCTGTTTGTAAGGTTAGGCATGGGGGGGAAGGGAGAGGTAGGAGAGAGAGGCAGAGGAAGCAGCACAGGGAAAAAACGAAACAATCCTTCAGATCTGCGTAAACCTGCTGCCCTTAGTACTAGATTTTTTATGCTGTTGGTGGGGGTTTTCCGGAAACGGACAAAGATTCAAGAATTCCAGGAGGAAAATTCTAAGAGTGCCTATGACTCCATTGGAAGGCAGCTGATTTTCCTTCTGCTCTAGATCAATGCATTTCTTCCATTTCTAACAACAACGGAAAACGCCACCAATTTTTTCTCCTAAGTCACTTCCTTTGGAACAAACCAGAATGCATTATGAGTTGTTTTAGGTAAAGGGAATTTAGTTATAGTACATTTAACAAGTTTATAATCAAATACGATCATCCCCCCAGATCTGCAAGGGATTATTCCAGGACCCCCACATATAGAAAATCCTGATTCTCAAGTCTCTTACATAAAATGGACACATAGGGACCAGCAGGTGGCATGATGGTTATGTTACTGGACTCCCATGTAGTCGACTGCGGTTCAAGTCCTGGACCCAGCAGCTTAAACTCACACCAGGTATGTGTGCATGCAAACCCAAAATCCCAAGGGAGTAGAGATGAAGGGATTGAGGCATGGTCGTTCCCCCGGGGGGTGGGGGTGGGGTAACTTCTCGCTTTCTGTCTCTCTGTCTCTCCCTGTCTCTCCTGAAAGTGCCCACACCCTATAGCAAAAAATCTCACTCAGAAAGAGAAAAAGAGAGAAGAAAGAGAAAGTCAAAAAGCGGCCACGTAATTGCATGTAACCTACTCACATTCTCATTATTCTTTAAGTTACCCTTAGTTTACTTACATGTCATCTTAGCCTCACGCAAGTGAAAAGGAAAACAGAGACCTCTTCAGCATGTCTCTTTTAGGGTGCCATCTCTTCCCCATTTCAATACCATTGGCCTGGCACGGCTGCACCTACGGGTGGTTGGATCTGAGGATGTGGAACCTTTGGATACTGAGGCCCAACTCTGTTTTCACTTACGTTGCAGTTTTGGTAACTGCCTCTTTTCGGGACCTTATGGCTCACTTTCTATGAGATGGCACCTGCTGCACATTGCTAGAAACCCTCCTCACGCAGAGCCGCACCTTCAGAATTAAGGCTAAGAATGTATTCTACCACTTAAGCTCCTGAAATACAATTTGGTTCCAGTTCCGAGGGACCTCAGAGCCATCATGAGTACGTCTTTAACATTTAGACCCGTGGCTTAGGGAGTGTTTAACAAGTGGCACCGAATCGATGCTTGCTGGAGGAACGGATATGGGCACCAACTTCGCGGAAGCCAGTGCCAGTGGTACCATGCTAACACGACCCTAAGCCGCAAGGGCTGTCACGCCATCTCATTTCGTGGCCAGAAATTTCTCCAGTCCTTCATTTTTCTTTTCCCTACTTTTTTTTAAAAATCAGTTTTGACAAGAACACAACTCTCCTTAGTGAAGCCCGATGGTCCATCTCCTCACCCAGCCATTTTCCTCCTTAAAATAGGCAAAGCACTTACTCTGATCGGCTCATAAAACACAGAAGAGGTTATCACGAAACATAGGAAGGCATCACTTATTGGTACTCCGTGCAACAGCTACAATGAATCTTTCCAGAGAAAGCAATTCCTGAGTAGTTTTCTAAGACCAGCAAGCCTGATATGGGAGAAGACCTTTTGGGGGAAAATGCTGGGTGAGAAAGCTCCACTATGAGTTCAGAGATCCTCGTTCCGCTAAGACAATGTCACCGGAGTCTGTGCTTCAGTTTCCTCGCCTGCAAATGCCAAGGGGAGATCAGATCATCTCGGGGACCCTTCCTAGCTTGAGCACAGCCAGCCTCTCTCGATCACTTTCATTGTGGAACCGCTTAAAGGCCAAAGCGGAAAATTCGACATATTTGTTTTGAAGGAAAAGCAAGGGAAGAATTGATTTCAAACCATTGTAAAATGCCAGATTTCTGTTTTGTTCGTTTGTTTTGGTATCAGATATAAATATCCCTCTGTATTAATGACTGTTTCTGTGTTCATATAGCATCGATTTTCCAAAGCCACATAGAGGTGCAGTATATTATCCTTTAAAACTTATGAAGTCAGGGACCAGCAGTTGGTGTAACGGCTAGGTCACTGGACTCCCATGTAGTAGACTGCGGTTCGAGTCCCAGACCCGGTGACTTAAACTCATGCCAAGCGTTTGTGCATGTGTGCCCAAGATCCCGAGAGGAGAACAGAGTAGAGGGGATTGCAGCGTGGCCATCCCCCCTGGGGGGTGATTTCTCACTTTCTGTCTCTCTGTCTCTCTCTGTCTTCCTGGCAAGCACATGTGCCCTATAGCAAAAACCTCTCCAAAAAAAAAGAAAAGAAATTAGCAAGCATGGCTGTAGTTAGGTTGATGCTAACTCACCACCTGCATCAACATTATTGGGAAAAAATGGCTCAGTAAGGGCCAGGTCCTTGGGCTACTTGGAACTTCACTCAGAAAAATCATTAGGAATTAACTTGGTGACACCTGAATAAGAGCCAGCAAATCAGAAATCATAAAAACATGCCATCCATCAAAATCAGTATCTATGAAGCAACTAACTTCATTCTGAACTGAGCTTCGGTTGTTTGGTTACATAATTTAAAAGAACTAATAAATCTGCAATCCACACCTTCTAATCATCATAAAAAGAACTTTTAAAATCAGTTTTAATATGAAGAGATCATTTATTTATACATTATCCCCAAACAATAATATCCAAATACTGAAGCAAAATAATCAATTATCTCTCTACCTATCAGTGACCAACAACAGAAATTTAGTGCTTTCAAGAGTCAGGGCATTTTTATCCTTATTTTAAACAGCTAAGACTTCTGTTATCACAAGGAACAATCTGCTGGTAGGGTCTGCCCAAATTCCAAGCACCTGCTTTCTCTGGTCTGGAGGCAGATGGTATATCATAAAAATAAAAGCCATGGGGAAATGCACAGAAAGACAGCCCCTTTATAACTCTTTAGGAAGCTATTATTCCTAAAATCTAATACTATAAATATACACAAGGTATGCTAATATCGTAGCTCAGAATTTGGGAACTGATGCAGGAGCATTCCAATAATTTCCACAGCCTGATTCACATGCATGTGTTCACATATTTCCACAGGATGGGAAAACAGTCTTTAGCTTCTAAGCACCTAGGGCAGGACAGTTTATTTTGGGAATTCAAACAAGTACCCTACACAGCAGCAGCTGCCATCCCTACCTTTTAATATACTACCAGTGACTGCAACTCCATTCAGTTCTTTTATAGTAACTCTTATGCGCCGCTCAGTGGGATCATCTCATTTATATTAATAGTTGTGGGAATTACATATAGATGAGTTCAGTTGTAATAAGTTGGCTTCAAGATGGGCTTTGCCACAATAATTTTGTAGGATAGTGCTTCTCAAACCTTACGGGCATCCAAATCTCCTGCAGAGCTTGTTAAAACTCAATTTTGTTGGCCCACCTCCCAGAAAGTCGGATTTCATAGGCCTGGGGTGGGACCTCAGCAGGTGCATTGCAAAGAGCTCCCAGGTGGTGCAGATGCTATTAGTCTGAGGTCCGCACTTTGAAAACCACCGATGTAAAGGTTCCCTTTGGAGTGTTAGCATCAGTTCTGATTCTTTGGAACTGTATTGGTTTCTCAGAAAATGCCCATTTAATGCCGGATGCATTTGAAATATATCCTTTGCTTATTCTTATGTTGAAGTTACATGCGAAGACAGTTATTAAGCAGATGGCAAGGCTGCTTCATGCTGTAAGCACCCAGGGAGAGTCAGTGAAAGCTGTATGTTTGATTAGCTAATACGCCACTTTACAAGTCAGCGGGAATTACCGTAACATACACAAGGTGGCGCAATTCCCACAAAAATGGCTGGCGAAATCTGAGAATCATCTTATTAATGTTTCTCTTAGAATTTATATTTAGAGTTAGTCTGTAAAGACTATATTCTTCTATCTTAAATCGACAAACACACTCCTATAATGTGAACCGATCCTATGTTGACAAAGGCTTAATAAGAGGCAATTGGGTGATGCTCAATTTGTGTTCAGTCACTTCTGCTATAATCACACTTGGCTAACTTGTAAAGCCTGGCTCTGTCACGAGTGATCGTCATAATGCTAAGATTTACTTCAAGCACACTTTGGAATGTAAACATACCTTATTCAACTTGACAAAGTATTCCAGTCCAGCTTCCAAAGGGTTTGTGTCACAGTTCATCTAAAAGGGAAACATATTTTAAATCTTAGTGCAGACCATCTCAGTAACATCTCTAACGTGTATATGTGTGTGTGTGTGTGTGTGTGTGTGTGTGTGTGTGTGTGTGTGTGTGTGTGTGTATATATATATATATGATGGGATATATCATATATATATTAGAAGAGAGAACACTTTCTGAATTTTGAATACAGATTTTGAAAAGGACAAATTTTTTGACTGGTTTCTACAGCAACTTTTAATCTAAAATTCAAATGCAGACCCCCACAACTATTGCCACTTGAATACAGCAAATATTAAAACTAAATTCGAGTTTGTGTTAATAGTTTTTTCATTTCAATAAACATCTGAGGGTTAGCACATGCTGTTCCTTCCAGAAACAAGACTTTCATGTGTTTTTAAGTAATAATTGTGAAATTATTATAACTAGATCTTACAAAGTTATTAAGTAATCTCCCAGTCTTAATCTACCAAGAGTCACAGTAAGCAGGAGGAAAGCAGACGGTAGAAAAATGGCTGCTATAGAGTTTAGGATGAGGCCCAATCTTATTTAAAAAAAAAAAAAAATGATTAATTACAGTATACAAATCAAAGATAAAGCAAATATTTGGCAATAGGTCCGGAGTTAATTTTTTTCTTTTCTAAATTTTTCTAGAGAGTACATGCACTCAGAGAGACAGAGAGAGAGGATGGTTATGCCACAATCCCTTCTCCCCATTTCTCCCCTTCAGGTTCTTGGACATGCAGCAAACACACTCAATGTGCTTGTCAAGTCTCCAGCCAGACTCAAACCATGCAGCCAACCATGTGGGACCAGCCACCTTAACCACCACGCCAGGGCCTGGCCCCAGTGGATTTTATTTCTCTGTTTTTGTTTTTTTTTTTTTTTCACTATAAAGAACTAGTCTAAACCTAAAAGGTACTGAAACTTTTAAAGACAACATAGCACTTACATAAACCAAGTTAATAATATTAATTTGTTTTATATGATATAAAAATTGGCCTCATATTTCTTAGTCAATTTGAGCTGGTCTAAAATTATTTTTGATTCGCAGAAGTTGCAGAATTTCAAGGAAAAGAAAAACAAAGCAGATTGATTGCAGGAATTACACTAGAGGGACACTAGAGGGCGCACCGACACCGCTGGGAAATCAGAGGTTCTGCGACAGAAACCGCAGCCAGAGGAGAGCACAGCCAGAGGGAAAAAAGAGAAGGTAAAAGGCAGGAGGATGGAGAACTACTGAGCTCCCAAAGGGCTGTGTCTGCTTCTTCTCATTCTTGGGAGATGTGGAGACAGAGGTGCCCTCTGTCTCCCTGCAGTTGGCCTTACCTAAGGCCCCAGTGGTAGGTCTAGAACCCCTAACAGAGCACCTCTCAATAGAACTTACCCAAGGGCCCTTCTTCTTTCAAGGTCTCCACCTCAAAGCCCACTTACTTCAGCTTATAGTCTACATGCCCAAGGGTCCCTGCCTAGACTTTCAACCCACTTTGCCGCCAATGCCATTCATTTTATTGTGTACCTGATACTTTACAGACCCTTTCTAATATCTATAATAATCCTGCAGAATAAATATCCTATTTTATAGAATATCAAACAGAGACTCTGGAGAGGTAGCCCACATGGCTGGGATGTGGTAAAAGATAAATGTTTACCCAAGAGGTTCCCCTCTGAAGTCCCTGTTTTACCACTATCCCTGGTACCTAAGAGTCTCACCGTCTTCCATGGAAACAACTAGCAAATCTGAAAAAGTGTGCAGGTTCATAGTCAGCCCGCCATATGGGGGTTAAAATAGGAGAACAGGGTTTGAAGCATAGATTGGTCACTTCTTGTGTAATCCGCACCAAGTTGTTCACTGACCTTAGGGTGTTCATGTGTGAAACACGGGTAGGCGAGGAAGAGCTTCATGGAGAGGTGAGAGGGTAAATTAAACCGTGCATGTGAAAACGCTGTGTAAGTGGTAAAACACTATAGAAATAGATACTCTCATTACTGTTAGTAATGATAACAGTGGAAATTAAACCGTGCATGTGAAAACGCTGTGTAAGTGGTAAAAACACTATAGAAATAGATACTCTCAGCTACCATTACTAACAGTGGTGGGAAGGCTAGGCCAACGCATCACCCCTGCCCCTTGGGAAGAAGCAATGTAAATTCACCAGAAGGTGCAATGTAGGAAGAAAATGAGGTGGGCAACACAGCAGGGGAGGAGGAGAGAATTTGAAAAGCGGTGCTCAGATCCCTGGGGTAGGATGTTTGGGCCTTTTTGCCAATCAGGAGGAATTAAGGTAGAATAAATATTATGTCAGAATTCCACTGAACTTTCAACTAGGAAACTGGAGTGAAAATCTCTCCCCCTAATTAAATACAATTGTCCGATAGTGTGTCATTTCTCTTACAGCCAGGGCCAACTTCGGTGCAGGTAAAAGTAGCACTTACACAAAAATCAGATACAAAAAATGTAACAGTTTAAGGAAGATGCCAGCATTTCAAACCTCTGACCCCCAGGCTCGGAAAGCTTTCTCCAATCTTAAGGCATTCATGGCATATGTCCCAAAATTGTCAATTCCCTCCTCCTGGCCTGCATTCATTATAGCGTCATAAAGTGTCGCAGAATCCTCTTGTCTGTGGTACAGCTCCCAGCCCAGCTCACCTGCAACAAACCCACAGGGGCCACAGCAGCGTAAGAACAATGGTCACTAGGCCTAACGTGCATTAGCTAAAACACATTAAAGAGGAGAAACCCCACTTAGGCGAAACAGGTATTGTTGGTTTTTAAAAGAGCAATTCACAAAAAGTTGCCATCCAACTCCACTGAGAGCAGCCTGCCTTATCACAGGAGGATTCATGCCCCGTCCTGAGTCCCACACAGAGGGTGGCAGGCAGGGTGTCCCTCTTCTCATGACACAGAAAGACGTAATGCAGGAGTTCATCTCCACTTCAATGCCAGCGTCATAATGGGGCTTGACTATTTTCTTTTCTTCTTCTTTTTTTTTTTTTAAGAGAAATTTGTGCTATAGGTTGGGTGAGCTTGCTGGAGAGACAGAAGGCGAGAAAACGCCCCCCCCCTCCAGGGAGGAGGATGGCCATGCCACAATCCCTTCTCCTCCATTCTCCTCTCAGGATTTTAAGCCACTGGGTCTGGGACTCAAACCATGGTCGACTACGTGAGAGTCCAGCGATGTAACCATTATGCCATCTGCTGGTTCTAAGGCTTGACTATTTTCAGGGACAACGATGTTAGGTGAGTAATTAATGTGGCATAGTTTTCCTAGATAAGGAATTCAAGACTTAGACACTCCAATTCCCAAACTCATGGCTAAGAATCACAAAGCTTAAATAGTAAGAATTATTTAAACTGTTTTCCTTGGGATATCCATAGTCTTTGACTGCTTCCACTTTCCACTTCTTCACCACTTAGTCATTAAATTCACTGTTAGATCCATGGATAAAATCTAAAGAAATGAAACCCAACCCAAACCATCCTGTCTGTTTTTTATTTTGGTCACCATTCTGCCAAAGTTAGATTGATTGAAAAAGTGTGAGAAAAGAGTGTGGAAGCCCAGGGAATACCTATGGCTTAAATACTGTGTGCTCTCCTTATTCCCCAAGGTCAAGGGCTCACGGGGATGCGTACTTCTAGGACACCATCAGAAGAGGAAGAACATGGAACTGAGAAAATGCTTGGGCACTAAGTGCTCCTTCTGTGAAGGGACAAGAGGAAGTTAGAAGAGAACCCAGAACATTAATGGCGAACTGAAGAGCATGCATTCATTTCTGCATCAGATACCTAACATGTGCAAAATTAGTGCCTGGTGAAGACTTGCTAGTGAATCTGTAGCCTGCAAGGAAAGATGGGTCATTGGCAATGCTCTAAGAAAGGCGCTTGATACATTCAAGATGGTCTCTACGGCAGTCTCCAGAAAACCATCCTGAAGGATCCAGATAGAGTCTGCTGGCCTGAATATTCCAACAGCCATCGTCTTCCCACTTTCTTATCTACCTTTCCAAATGGGAGGCAGCTATGGACTGCTGAGACAGCTGGAAATGTATGGAACCACTCTCAAGGCTAGCAGTAAACAGACCTGTGGTCAAAGTTGAGTAGAAGAAATCTTCCTCCAAAGTCTTACACGTGAGAGTCCAGCGATCACACACACACACACGCACACACACACACACACACTTTCTGTCTCCTTTTAAATTCCAGAAACTTATTCTAGTCAATTCCCCATTCTTACCAGTATAAGATATCCTAATAGCAATGACAGGAATGTTGGCAACCTTTAGTGACTTGGTTTGGAGAAACTTGAAAACACCGTCACTAAGATCTTCAGAGGTCAGTTTCTGAAGGACCTTTCTTGCATAAGGCCCTGCAACTCCAAGGACCCCGAGTTCATCAGTTATGTTTTTAATTTCAACATCATATCCACCTTTAACAGCCTCTTCTTCAATCCACCTGCATTTGAGTCAGAAACGTTGTGTTAAACATTGCCTGAATAATGCAGTTTGGTAACATTATTCTCTGAAGACATGCTTTGTGTCTAGAATATCTGAAAGTCCCCAGAGTGTCATTTTATACAATCACCTGATTTTGAAAGTTGAGGAAACCAACTCCCTGAGATGTAATTTTTTTTTTTAAATCACTCACTCATAAATTTGGGGAAATTTTTTCATAGTTCAGAAGGAGCCTTCCATTTAAAGAGCTCTGTCACACAATTCCTTTAAGTAGTGACAGCCCTATTGCATTTAAACTAATGATTCAACCTTCACAAAGTAAGTTAAATCCCAATTTTCTCCAGTACCCATACACAGGAGGCACTTGCATCACTAAAGGTTAATAACGTACCTGCCATTAGATACGTAATTGTTCTGATAGTCACAAGGAAGAGACAAAAACTCTAGTTTCAATTTCTAAGTCTTGGTCAGTTATTGGAATTCAGTTCTCAGGCTGGATTAGCATTTATCAAGCAGTCCCTGAAACTATGTAAGTCTGTCATAAAATGTTCATCTGGATTTATGTAATGCTAAGCTGAATGTAGGGTGTGGCCCCAGTACATTTTGGATTGGCGTGTGTAATTTGCATCACTTTACAACTAAGGTCAGTGTGAGACGTGTATTAAATAATAATGGCCCAAGTATTTTTGGAGTACTAGACTAAAAACTACAGGTGTTACAGTAGACTAAAAATTCATGCAAAGGTTGATTTGGCTAGTCAGCAATTTAGACCCAGCCGTAGGCCAGAGAGCACAACACTCCCAAAGGGAGAAGATAAGTTAGGAATGCCACTTACAAAAGCAACCAATTATGAGCATCAGAATCGAAAGGACCGGCTTGAGCAAGTTACCTGAAACTAAACTTTAGTTTCCTTATTTGGAAATGGGAACAACATATACCTTACCAACTAGGAAGAGAACTAATTTAAATGGTATCTAAAGGGGTTTTGGCACATTAGTGATGCCTAGTAACTGGGACTTCATATTATCAGAAACATGGAACCAGGGAGTGGTGCCGCAAGAACACGTGATGCTCTGTGAGGCCATCCCACATGGAAAGGTTCCAGGTTCGTGTTCAGAGACCTCTGAGTGTGCTGGGCACACGTGTGTCCATGACCTGGGGCTGGCTGAGGCTGGGAGTGGATTGCGGTGTCAAAACTCTGTTGGCGGTGCTGTCTCTCTTATTCTCTGTATCTTATTATTATTATTATTATTTATACATTCAGTCACTTGATTGCAAAGAGACTTTACCCAGCATGATATATACCTCCGTCCAGGACAGTTGAAAATACTATATACCTCATCATCAACAGGTAATAAGCCATACCTGTGTCCCACAAATGTCTTACCTTTCCTTTTTTCCCCCCAATTTTCCTTTCCTACACTCTTCCCCTCTTTCTTCTTTGTCCCTAGTGTCCCCCTTTGTCCCATAACAACTTTTATGTCCTCCAGCCTTTCAGTCTCTACCATAAAGTGCGGACAGTTGGTATATGTTAAGTGGAGACATGCAATGTCTCTGTTCATAGCCTGACTTGCTTCACTCAGCAATAAATCTTCCATATTCGTTCACTTTCTATCAAATGTCAGGGTCATGTTGTTTTTTATGGCTGAATAGTATTCCATGGAGTCTATGTGCCATGCTTTTTCAATCCATTCATCTGTTTGTGGGCATTTGGGTTTGGTTCCATGTCTTAGCAATCATGAATAATGCTGCAATACATATAGACGTGCAAGTGCTTTTCCGACTGAGTGCTTGCCTGTCCTTTGGGCAGATACCCAGGAGGAGTGGAATTGCTGGATCATATGTAGTCTATTTTAAGGTCTTTGAGAAACCTCCATATTTTTCTCCACAGTGGTTGGGTCAATTTATATTCCCACCAACAATGTAGGAGAGTTCCCCTTTCACCACATCCCTGCCAGCACTTAGCATTTTTTGTGTTTTTAATCTTTGCCATTCTGACTGGAATTAGGTGGTATCTCATTGTGGTTTTGATCTGCATCTCCTTTATAATGAGGGATGTTGAGCATTTTTTCATATGCATTTTGGCTGTTCATATATTTTCTTTAGAGAATTGTTTATTCAGCTCATTTTCCCATCTTTTAATTGGGTTAATAATTTTCTTCCAGGTAAGCTGCTTGTGTATTCTGGTTATGAGTCCCTTATCTGAGGCACAGTTTACAAAAATATTCTCCCATTCTGAGGGGTGTCGAGTCACACTAATTACTGAGTCCTTTGCTGTGCAGAAACTCCTTAATCTGATGTAATCCCACTTGTCTATTTTGGGGATTATTGCTTGTGCTTTAGTGATCTTGCCTAAGAAGTCTTTGCCTACCCCTATGTCTCCCAGAGTTCTCCCAGTGTTTTCCACCAGTAATTTTATAGTTTGAGGTCTTAGGTTTAGATCTTTGATCCACTTTGAGTTGATTTTTGTAAATGCTGACAGATAGGGGTTCTTGCTCCCTCCTCTGGGGAAGGTGTCTTCCTCCACTCCCCACCCGGTCACGGCTCCTCTTCCCCCTCCCCCTCCATTTTCCTGGCTCACTCCTCCTCTTCCCTTCTCTGTCTCTATGACAAAATGTTATTAGAACCAGTAAACTCTATGGATGAGTGATCTTCTGGGAGGAGGGAGACGGGGGTTCTTGCTTCAAATATTTTCCTACAAAAGGCATAAAGTTCACTTGAAACATGTTTAAAAATTAAAGTTATACTTTCAAGTACTGACAAAAAGAAAAACTCAACTAAGGATGAGTCAATATATGATAGGCCAAACTTCTCTTATTAAGTGTGTACTTACCTAAGATCATGAAGTTCTGATCCAGAACCAGTTATTAATAGAAACTCCCCGGGAGACTGGTGAGAAACAGTCAGCTCAGCATACACTCGACCTTTAGGTGTTAACATGTGACTGATGTTTGTAAAACCCACCTACACAAAAGAATTTAAAATTACCTCAGGATGAAATTAAAATCTTTCATATCTTTTGAAGATTCATTTAAATAGAAATGTGGGTGTTACCAATGAAAGCATCTGACTCATCATTTGTATCAACTGTATGAAAATCTGTAAACCTAAACCCAAGATTAATTTGAAGGTCTACATTTAAATAGTCATTTAAAACCATTTGTCCTAAAAGTCATGTTTCACTTAATTGCAGTCAATTTTAAGTTCTCATTGACACAATTAAGCAAAATTATAAGGTACTTGGATGGTAATTTACTCAACACAAATTTAAATTTGAAAATTAGCTCTTATATTCTTGATTAGTTAAAGAGTTCAGTGTTCATATAGAAGTCATTAGGTGAATTAAAATAACATAGTGGTCATGAAAGAAGAAAAAATAAAAGGATGAAGAATTAAATAGGTCAGATTCCTGGACCTTGAATCCTTACAAGGCTATTTACCTTTGGAATGACATTTGCAAAGAGATGGTCCAACAATTTAATGGAGTCTTGGCCTTTGATGTTGAACTTGCCAAACGGTGACAGGTCAATCACCCCTACTCTTTGCATAACCTGTTTATACTCCAAGCCCACAGGCTCAAACCAGTTTGTGCGTCGAAAACTTGGCCTGAAACACAAAACTGAGTGTCATTAACAACTGCCAATGATTTTCCAAAATTTACAGAATAAAGAGGTTTTGATAAGCCCTTCTTACCTAGAAAATCCTTTGGAAGGTGAGGGGAGAGAATATGCAACCTAAATTTTGGTTGTGCAAATCAGACATATATTGGATTGTCGGAAAAGTCATGTTTTTTCTATGCAAAAATGCATCATGACTTTTCTGATGATCCAATATATTGGAACCTGATCTTTTAAGGTTAGCCATCCATCCCTTTGGCCCATTTCATAGTGAATGAAGTATTTATTATTTATTAACTAGAAAATGAGAGTGAACTCATGGGCTGTCGGATTTGGAAGAGAGCTTAGAAGTCAACCAGCCCAGGGATTTCAACCTTGGCTGCATATTAGAATCACCTGGGGGGCATTTTAAAAATTCTAGCAGTTAGGCCTAATTGAATCAGAATGTCTGGGAGGTGGAGCTATGTAGTCCAGAATTTCTCAAACATTAATGCAAAATACCAATCATTTGTACTTGATCAATTCTAGATTCCGATACAGTAGATCTGGGGTGGAGCCCAGAGCCCACATTCTAACAGGCTCCCAAGCTGTTGGTTCACAACTAGAGTAAGCAAGGATTTGGTCCAACATCTTTATTTTTTCAGAGAAAAGGCACAAAATGATTTCTAAGGCTTTTGCACTAGTTAATGACAGAGCTGGGCCTGGGACAAAGGTCTCCTGACTCATTACGAAAGGTCCTTTCTATTTTATGAAGTGGACTTCTAATGCGGTATTTTAACTTCAGAGCAGAATGCTAAGTCTGCAAAATGTATTTTCTGTAGTTTAATTATTGAAATGGTAGGAAAAACTTAGCACATATCCACACAGCACAAAGTGAAGAACAGAGTTGGCATTTATCTGAGTCATTCAGGAAAACCCAAACCAGTATTTGGGCACCAAATAAGCTAATTGACTGCCTATGGAGCCCAAATTCATTCACAACAAATTGGCCTCTTCCATATTTTGTATCAATTAGACCTGGTCTTAATGTCAAATCAAAATTCACTTAAATAAGCAAAATGACAGCTCACAAACAAAGGTAACTGAGCTTCTAGATTTGCTATTGGTTTTCTTTTGGTTTATGGATTCTCGTGAGAGAAAAAAAATACGAAATTACTATTAATCCCAAGTACAACCATGGCATGTAGCACTTTCTAGGAATTCAGAGGACTCATAGCATGCTATGTTTTAGCTTAACCTGAAAGGCTAAGCAAATGATCTTTTTCCCTAATGTATAATATCCCCTATGAATTTGCATGGCTCATCGCACACATACTGAAATGCAGTTGCTTTGAACTATTTCATGACAAAAATAAAACCTAATACTCGTGTTGTGACTGTATACTACCCGTTTCAGTTTTTCTAAGCCGTGGCCAACTTTCAGGAGCCAACTGAGGGTATGTAGATTTGCAGGGCCCGGAAGGGTTTGAGCTTCTGGTAAATGCCACATGGAAGACCTTCACCTGGGTCATTTCACCTGGGGTAGTTACAGACTGTCAGGACCACATGGGCCTAGATGTGGGCCAACGTTGTGTGGTCTAGACTAATGACTCTATTCCGGAAAATGACTGCTGTAGGAAAAAGCTCCATGCTCCTTTAAATGGGGTGGAGTGATGGGGTGGGAGAGGGCATTGGTACTTCTCTGCAGTCCCTCCACTCTACTTCGTAGTGTCATCCTGGGTCAGAAACACAGATGGTTAAGTCGTTCACTCACCTGTACTGAGTGTCCTGGCCTGGTTTGTAGAACCAGTGTGGCTGTTCCCAGCCTGCATGGAACCCCATGGAACACTTAGACCGCAGGGTCTTGTAGAGCCCACTGACTCGCTGCGTTGGCCTCCCGGCAAATCGTTCTTCTTTGGGGTAACCAACTGAACAAGGAAAATGGAAACTTTAAATGGTTTTTAACCAAAATGGTGAAATACTTTGAAGGGATTCAGAAAATAGAACATGCAGTTCTTAACATTTAGAAGTACACGCACATGTATATACCCACAAACACACTTACCATTTATGTAAAAAAACAAAAGCTATCATTTATATTGGCTATCAAAGGGTAAAATAAAAATATATTTAAAATTTTAAGTCACGTGATACACTCTACATGTTAAATAAATACAACCATACATAATCCTGTTGTGTCTTAGAAGTCCAGTGCTTTCTAAAATGCCAAACCATCCCACCCCACTGAGTAGAATAAAGAGAATCGAAGTCAGGAGCTGCAAGTCAGTTCTGTGAACATTCTGCAGACAACAATAACTTTGCACTTTACCGATATTGTTGAATCCATATGACTCTCTCGCTTTGGCCTCCGTGTACTGAGTCGTCGTCCATTTGCCATAGCGATTGGGATCCAATTCTATCAAGTCAAATGGCGGTTCTCCCTGCAGGATCCAGTCACTGAGGTATTTCCCTACTCCACCGGCGTGGATTATGCCGTATCTTTCAAATACAGAGACAGATACCCTGTTACTAACACATGCTGTCTTCAAATAAGGAAATGCACTCAGATATTTTACAGAGTCTCAGTGTTGGAGCATTTAGTGCTATTCTGAACACAGAAAAGAACAAAACTCTTTTCTAAACTTTTTTTATCATTAAAAAAAAACAATGGCATGTCTGGGCATCCAAACTAAATGTATCTGACTTGATAGCTAGTCTGTTTCCACAGTTTTAAGAGATGCATGCCTACAAAATAGCCTACCAGTCTAAGCTTGTAAGGACATTTACTTACTTCAGAAATATGAGAGTGAAGGGAACCAGCAGTTAGCGTAATGGCTATGTCGCTGGACTCCCATGTAGTCGACTGCGATTCGTGTCCCGGACCCTGTGGCTTAAAACTCACGCCGGGCACGTGTGCGTGCGTGCCCAAGATCCCGAGAGGAGAAGGGATTGCGGCGTGACCATCCCCTCTGGGGGGTGATTTTTCGCTTTCTGTCTCTCTGTCTGTCTGGCGAGCGCACGCGCCCTATAGTGAAAACCTCTCAAAAAAAAAAAAAAAAAGAAAGAAATATGAGAGTGAAGAAGGGAGCAGAGGCAGCTGTGACTGGGCCCTTCTCAGCCTCCTGGGCTGTGATTACCCTGACTGGTAGGAAACTTTGTGGAGAAATGTCGGGCCCATCTTTTTATTGGGTTGTCCGAAAAGTCATGATGTATTTTTTTCTGGTTTTTCTGTACAAAAATGCATCCTGGATTTTCCAACAACCACTACTTCTGACCCATGTAGGCTTCTGTCCAAAGAACATGGACGTTATTGAGGCAGCATTCAGGCAAAGAGGCACCACTCAGGTTGTGAGGAGGAGGTAGGAAAATCCAGACAGCCTCAAGTATTTTGCAATTAATGGGTCACTTGGTGGCAGAAGATGGGTTTGTTTTCCATCTCTATAAGTCTTTTTTTTTTTGTAAGAGAGTTTTTTTTTTAAGAGAGTTGTTTTTTTGTTTGTTTGTTTGTTTGTTTGTTTGTTTGCTATAGGGCACATGCACTCGCTGGAGATATAGAGAGACAGAAAGTGAGAAATCACCCCCCACCCAGGGCTGAAGTCCACGCTGCAATCTCTTCTCTTCCATTTTCCTCTCAGCATTTTGGACACACACACACAAGCACCTGGTGTGAGTTTTAAGCCACCAGGTCCAGGACTAGAACCACGGTTGACTACATGGGAGTCCAGCAATGTAACCATTATGCCATCTGCTGGTCCAATCTATAAGAAGATTCTTAAAGACCTGGGACCAGCAGGTGGCATAATGGCTATGTCACTGGACTCCCATGTAGTTGACCGTGGTTCAAGTCCTGGACCCGGTGGCTTAAACTCATGCCAGGTGCATGTGCGTGCGTGCCCAAGATCCTGAGAGGAGGATGGAAGAGAAGGGATGTGGCGTGACATCGCCTCTGGGGGGTGATTTCTCGCTTTCTGTCTCTCTGTCTCTCTCTGTCTTTCTGGTGAGCGCTTGAGCCCTATAGCAAAAACCTCTCAAAACAAACAAACAAACAAACAAAAAACAAAAAGACCAAGATTATGGCAAACAAAGGACTTTTGATATCAGGATAGAGAGATCACAGTTTCACACGGCCACGTGCGGTTCTACCCACTCACTCTTGTGTAATGAAGGCCTTTACTGTGAGTTTATCTGTGGTTTACACAGAAAAATGTTTCTGGAGAAATCCGAGAAAAGGAGTCACGTGAGCAGACATTAAGATGCCAGAAAACCCAGCACTCCGGACTGTAGCCACTCAGCCAGAATCGCAGGTTCCAAGAGCCAAGAGCAGGGGAAGAACATTTGCAAAGACTGGAGATATTAACTAACTTTTCTCACAGCAAAACACCGATTTTGCTTTCTTATAAAAATAAATATCTAAATGTGTTATACGTATATTTCTCAAGGAGACTAAAAGGCAACAATTTACACTTCTCTAGGCAGCCTCACCCTAGGCCTGGCAAAGAGATGGCAGTCGTTAAATACTGCTGAATAAATGACCAAGTAAAATGGAGTTACAAATTGAGTATTAGAAGCTGTGATAGGGGAGTAAACTGGGCTTGGCATCAATATTCACCAAGTTTATGGGACAAATATTAGAAAGGAAACACTCAAGAGGCAATGGAATCCTAAATAAGAAGCAACCTGAGGAATCATTGGGAAATAAATCATACTGGACAAGCACAAATTACGCTGGACAAAATGCATCAGATATGCTATACATTTGATATTTTGCATGATCTATGCCACATTGCGTTATGAAAACATCCTTGTGAAATTGGAACGAATTGAACTATCTGAAGATAAATATAAAAAGACACAGAAATAATGGAAATAACAGGAAATATGCAGAGAAAGTTCCAGGAAATCATCGCTCTCCTGTGTGCTAACCTTTTTTTTTCTTTTTTGAGGAGAGATTTTTTGCTATAGGGCACATGTGCTCTCCAGAAAGACACAGAGAGACAGACAGAGAGATAGAAAGCAAGAAATCACCCCCCAGGGGGGATGGCCACGCCGCAATCCCTTCTCCTCCATTCTCCTCTTGGGATCTTGGGCACGCACGCACACACGCCTGGCGTGAGTTTAAGCCACCGGGTCTGGGACTCTAACTGCGGTAGACTACGTGGGAGTCCAGCGACATAGCCATTACGCTAACTGCTGGTCCCCTCTGTGCTAATCTTTAACACCTACACAAGGGATGAAATCATGACACAGTGTTTGAAAACTGTGTGTGTCTGTGTGTGTGTGTGTGTCTGTGTGTGTGTGTGTGCGCACGCATGCATATGCGCGCTAGAGGGCACATGGGCTCTCCAGAGACGGAGAGAGAGAAAGGAGAAGGCTCCCCCCACATGGGGAATGGCCACACTGTAATCCCTTCTTCTTCATCTCTCCCTTTTTTCAGGATTTTGGGCACACACATACATATGCCCACTGTGTTTCTCAAGCCAGATCCAAGACTCAAACAGCATGGTCAGCTATGTGGAATCTGGCTACCTTAACCACTGGGTAATGGAGCCAGCCCTAAAACGGAAAGTTTTTATTCTTTGTATTACTCTTTGGCCATGAAAGGGAGATAATTATCTCTGTCTCAGTCTCTCCCACATTTTCCATTTTGGGCCTGAGAGTATGAAACTAAACTTAGTGGTTCTATATAAACGATGCATTGCACAGAGATACTCACCCGAAACCTATAGCCACCCAGTAGTTTCTGACCCCCTGATGGGGCCCCACCATAGGCAGGATATCAGGAGAGTAGGTGATAGGGCCATTGACGATATTGATGATGTCAGCCTTTTTTAAGACTGGAACCATTTCCATGGCAGCTTTGACATGTTCCATGATTCGGTCCAGATCAGACTCAAAGAGTTCTTTTCCAAAACCTGGAAAGATACCCCACTGTGACCAGGATGGAACGACAGCACTCTGAGGTGATTTAAGTCTACATTTAACCACGGCCCATTATAGTGGCACCTCCATTCTAAGTCTAAATGTGATACTCGTGACAGCAGGTGAGTATTCTCTTACTGAGAACGATGGTGTTACTGTTCTTAAAACAAAATCATGAAAATTAATATTTTTTATTAATAGAAAATGTAAATGCGTACATATTAACAGTTTCCAATTTTAATCCAATCACACTCTGTTTTTCTTTTTTTTTTTTTAAGAGAGATTTTCGCTACAGGGCACGTGCGCTCACTGGAGAGACAGAAAAGACAGGGAGACAGAAAATGAGAAATCACTCCCCAGGAGGAATGGCCACGCTACAATCCCTTCTCCTCCATTCTCATCTAAGGATTTTGGACATGCACAAACACACGCCTGGTGTGAGTTTTAAGTCACTGGGTCTGGGACTCAAACCACAGTTGCCTACATGGGAGACCTGCAATGAAACTCCATCTGCTGGTCCCCAATCACAATCTGTTTTTAAGACAGAGTCTCACTGTGCCACGATTCTCAGCCCTTGAAATGCTGGGATTACAGGTATGTGCCACCACACCTGGTCTTTAGGTTGGACTGGGAATCAAACCTGGGTCTCCCCTGTGTCTCTGGCCCAAGGAGCATAGTGGCTTACTCGGTGTGCACCACTGTGGCTGGGTTCTAATCACAATTTAAAAGCAAACAACAGTAATTAAATTCTTTATCCTTCACTTAACCATGAGTGCTTGTTTTGTCCCTCCAGATGAGGGCAAGTGGAAGTTTACAACTCATGCCAGGAAAAGTGGAACAGGACACCAGGGTATAGGATGACGGATTTCAGACCTCGTGAACTCCCCGTTAAGCAGAGAAGGAATAGCATGGAGGCGCCCTTCCTTCAGTCTGCCCTTACACAGATCCAAAGGCTGGAGTTCTGTGAAAGGAGGCAGGATCTTAGAGGACCGTCATCTTCTTGCCCTAAAGGTTTCTGTGACTGGAGGCAGGGCCGACGCACTTCTGAAAGAATGTCTTCATCTGACATTCAGGGCTGAGCCTGGACACATGGGCATGCCCAAGCGCAGCTAGCAACCTGGCTATTTAAAAATACAACTGACTTTATTTACATGTTTGTTCAGCATTTATTTGGAGAAGAGGATGCCAACATGAAGAAAAAGCAGAGAAGGAGGCTCCCAAGAGGCAGACCAGCCCATCCTCTGGTATCAGGAACAATTCCACTCAGGCCCAAATGTGTAGAGCACACTCAGCAAAACTGAATTCCTGAAGCCGGCTGGCAGCCCAGCTTCTGTGGAAGGCAGTTTAGGGATCATTCGCTGTTACATGGCCCTATTCTTTGAAGAAGGTTGGGGACAAGGGTTGGTTCTGTTCCAAGGAGTTTTTCAAAGCATAATTCTAGAAAGTAGAGTTTCTGCCATTTCTTTATATTCTGTGCAATATTTCAGTGCTGCAGTGATACTTTAGCTCTCTTTGTAGGTTAAAATTTGAGTTACCTATTTAGGCGGCCCAGTCTGACTCTGTGGAAATGTTTCATAATAAACAAAACACCGACCCGTGCACCTTACGGAGCTTGAAAGTGAAGCGATAGCACCTTCTACTTTCACAAAGAGGCCCAAGCCTTTTCTATATCCACTTATGTAGCACAGGAGGGCCTCGGTTTGCCGTGCCACCCTACCCTTCTCTGTTACCAACTCCTAGGCTTTGCTTCTTAGTCGGTGGATATCCTGCCTTTGCTATCTGTCGTGTTTCCAACTGCCAAAGCACAATAGCAGCTACATTCTTTACCTGAAGCTAGACCAAGCAGTGAGTGGATCAAAGCAAAAAAAAAAAAAAAACAAAAAAACAAAAAAAAAACGGAGGGAGGAGGCTGGCGTAGGCTGGACCCTTTCAAAACAACCGGAAGCTATTTCTTCATCTTCTCTACCACCAACCACATCTTCTCTCCTCCACACCGCCTGCGGTGATCGTTCGAAAGGACATGAAAACAGCACTCACCACACGATCCTTCAACGTTCCAGGCAACTAACAGTTCTGGACAAAGAGTCTTCAAAAAATAATGGAAAATGCACATTATGAAAAAATGGTGCGTGGGTTTTCATTTTTTGCACCAACGTTAATTTATACTGTAATTCCTTTTTCCATCAAGGTTTGAAGTCTCCTTATATTATAATATTGTCTTGTTCTACGGCCAGCCCCCAGCCCTGGAGAGAATGAACCATATGTGTCTACCCGTACACGCCTTCCTTTGCCGAACCCACCTGGAGGGACTCCGCTGGTGACCCAGGTGTCCTGAACTTTCATTTTCTCCTGACTTTCATATGGACCAAAGAGAAGCCCATCTCTTTCCTGTCGGATATAATAAGATCCTTCCAGATCACGGAGAACAGGGAGTTCTCGTTTCAAAGCTTTCACTTCAGGTATAGTCGATGTAACAACATATTGATGTTGAACCGGAATGAGAGGATGTTCGAGTCCAATCATTTTACCTACTTCACGAGCCCAAAATCCTTAAATAATAATAATAACAATTAAAAAGTCACCACATATAGAAACATACCACATCCAACATGATATAGTAATATACAATAAAATAAAATATTTCGAAGGGTTAAACACTCATGTCAAAGTCTATGGAAGTCTTACTTTTTTTGTTATTGCAAATTGGATGGAAGAAGAGAAGATAATATTTTGCATTGCCCAGAATTTTGAAAATATCTCTAAGCCAAGGAAAGTCTGTTCTTTAAAAAAAAAAAAAAAAAAGGATTTTGTCCATAAGCAAAAGTGGGCAGAAAAGGAGCAAAAACCAAAACATTTGTATAAAATGTACAAGTACTGACAAGAAAGACGGCAACAGACTGCCCTATTCATGGACAGGGATGGTCAGGCAGACAGACCTCCTGCACACACTGCCGTATTGATAGGGTTAGCATAATCTGTAATAAAAGTATGTAATAAACTCAGTATGTCAACTCTTCTATCCACCAACACTCTATTTCCTTATTATTGATGCCTAAAATGCCATAAATACAAATTGTTCCATTAACTTAACATTTGAAAATGTACATATATCACATTGAGTTCTGTTATTTAAAAAGTTAAGTTTTGATAAGATTGTCAAATCCTTTCTTGTAAAGAACACAAAAGCAGGGCACGTGTGCATGCGTGCCCAAGATCCTGAGAGGAGAATGAAGGAGAAGGGATTGTGGCGTGGCCATCCCCCCTGGGGGGTGATTTCTTGCTTTCTGTCTCTCTGTCTCTCTCTGTCTGTCTGGCGAGCGCACGTGCCCTATAGTAAAAACCTCTCAAAAAAAAAAAAAAAAAAAGAACACAAAAACACAAGGAATAAAAAAGGGGAATGAAGAGGAGCCACAGCAGAGGGGAGACTGGGCTCTCCTACGTAGGTGGTGAGTTCCCCAAATCACAGTTTCTCAATTTACAATTCACACAGGGACTCTTTTGTTAGATTTTGTTTTGAAAATTTTGCAAGAGGGTGTGTGTATTTGCTGGAGAGACAGAGACAGAAAGAGTGAGAGAATGAGGGACCAGCAGTTAGCGTAATGGCTATGTCACTGGACTCCCACATAGTCAACCGTGGTTCAAGTCCCAGACCCGGTGGCTTAAACTCACGCCGCGCACATGTGCGTGTGTGCCCAAGATTCCAGGAGGAGAATGGAGGAGAATGGATTGCGGTGTGGCCATCCCCCTGGGGGGTGATTCCTCGTTTTCTGTCTCTCTGTCTGTCTGGTGAGTGCACGCACCCTATAGCAAAAAAAAAAAAAAAAACCTCTCCCAAAAAAAGAAAAAAAAAAAAAGAAAGAGTGAGAGAATGAGAAAGTACCCCAACACAAGGAAGGTGGACAAAGAGTCACGCTGCAATCCCTTCTTCGTTCTTCCCTCCTGCTGGGATTTTGGGCACACACACACATGCCTTGTGTGCTTTTGAAGCCACCGATCGGGGAGTCAAACCGCAAAATTGGCCATGTGGGATCTAGCTACCTTAACCATCGTGTCCACACACAGACTGTTTTATTGGTGAGATTTAACATTTACTTTTTTTACTTGCAGAATTGTATAAGTTTTAGCTAAAAAGAGCCTTAATTCTTTTCCAGGATGACTCTTTTATACAAAGATTTATCTAGAGAGGTTGAGACATGCCCACTGTATTTTACTTGTTTTCTTCCTGCAGAAAGATTATTTTAAACATCTAAAATATCTACACTTGTATTAAAAAAAATTTTTTTTTGGAGAGGTTTTTGCTATAGGGTGTGTGCGCTCGCCAGACAGACAGAGAGACAGAAAGCGAGGAATCACCCCCCAGGGGGGATGGTCACGCCGCAATCCCTTCTCATCCATTCTCCTCTCGGGATCTTGGGCACACACGCACACGCGCCTGGCGTGAGTTTTAAGCCACCGGGTCCGGGACGCGAAACGCGGTCGACTACGTGGGAGTCCAGTGACATAGCCATTAAGCTAACTGCTGGTCCCAAAATATTTTAGAATCTAAAGTAACAAAAATGATTATTATTTGATACAGTTGTGGTGTTGCCTTATCCATCAATGGATTATATTGGCAGAGGAAGTTCTGCTTGTTTGTTTCATAATAATATTGAGTAACTATTCAAATGATTAGATAATTCTATTTAAATTAGATTTTTGGAGGTTATATTCACTAAAATTTTAATCATTTTTTTTGGCTTTTTTTCTGAATCTAATAAAAAAATTCTAAAATCTCTATAATTATAAAAAAATCATGGGATCAGAAGATGGTACAATGATTACGTCACTGGACTTCCACATTGTTGATCACATTTCAAATCCCAGACCTGGAGGCCTAAAACTCACACCAGGCACATGTGCATGAGTGCCCAAAATCTCAAGAGGAAAATAGAAGAGAAGGGATTGAGGCATGGCCATCCCCGCTGTGGGGTGGTTTCTCACTTTCTGTCTCTCTGTCTCTATCTCTGACAAGTGAGTGTGCCCTATAGCAATAATGGCTCTCTAAAAAAATTAAAAACTCTATCACTAAGCCTAGAGCGAGAAATACAGTCCTCAATTATAAGTCAGCCTGAGAATCCAAATTATGTGCTTACGTGTATCAGAGCTTATTTCTGTTTGACCATCTACATGTTACCCTGTGTTCTACTGTTTTGTTTTGGCCTACCAGCTACGTTGGTCACACTTGCATGATGACCCTAGAAATGGATGCTCATTTATAAATCAGAAATCTGACCCATGGGTGTCAGAGCTATTTGCTGGCCTTTTAATAATTTAGAGACTTAATTTAATCTTAATAAGAGGAAGATATCAATTACTAACGTCAGGACTTTGTAGGAAAATGTAATGAAGCCACATATTCTATACACTAGAGCAGTTTTAAAATACAAAAGTCAGAATATTTAGCCCAGTAATTCAAACAATTGCACTATCCTCAGCATGCTTGTTTCAATTAAAAGTATTAATTAAAGAAAATAAATTCAGTCTTATTCAAATATATTTATGAATTTCTGAGTATAATTGCTTGTTTATTAATGCACTTCATCAAAAAAAAGTAAAAGTATGTGCATAAGTGTCATATAATTATCTTACTTTAAATCCCATAGCAAGCTTTGTATGGTTTTACCATGTGTGGTCGTGTCTGGCAGCATTTTCTCCCTCTGTCTGTCGATCAAATTAACCTAAATCTAGCCAAAACTGCACTTCAATCCCTGCCAGATTATGCCAAGTTCAAAGGTAAAGGAGAAAAGCACAGAGGAAAATTTCTAAAATCCATGATTATCACCTGGAAACCAAATGAGCAAAAGAGTCAATAAAATAACCATTGGAAACGGCTTTTTCTATTTTTTAATGCATTGATGAATAGGAATGGAGTAAAATGAAGAGGAGGATTCACAGACATGTTTACTTCTCCTAGATGGTCTGAATGATGACAGTGATGGTTTCACTCCTTGATGCAGAGTAGCAAGCAAAATGAAACAATTCTTTTTGGCTAAACACCTGGCTTCATGTTGGCATGATCCAATCACCTTTCAGATTTACCATACTAGGAAAAGTCTTAGGTATATTTTACAAAGTCATCTCAGGCTTACTGAGTTCATTGGAACTGAAGTCTAGGACTTGAACCGTGGTCGACTACGTGGAGTCAGTTATGTAACCTTTACACCATCTGCTAGCTCCCACGAAATATATTTTTTAAAGAATTATTTATTTTATTTGATTTCCTCTTATTCTTATTGTTATTATTTAATTTGTTACAAATGTGCTCACCAGAGAGAAACAGAGACAAGGAAAGCGAAAAAGCAAGTGGCCAGGTCCGGGACTCAAGCTGCGGTCAGCCATGTGGGAGTCTAGCTCCTCAAGCACCATGTGGTTTGAGTTAAAAAATTTTTTACAAGAATAAAAAGTAGTCAGAAATGAATGAAAGCCAACGCATAACCATCAAATCTGCCCTACAGAGCAAACTGGTAACAGAGGATGCTCAAGCATTTGAACACTAGAATTTGCTTATCAGTATAAAAAAACAGTGAACACAGGAAGAGAAAAGAACATAATTTTGCAAAACATAATCTGGAACAGAAGAAAATAAGGAATAAAGAAAAGAATCCCAACTCTCGTGGATAACCAAGGATGGAGTGGTCTCATGCAACAAGTGAAAAGTGATGGGGAGGAGAATTGTACCTTAGAAACCAACAAGATGTTTAACTCAGGAGCGTTGTAAAGACTTCATAACAATGTACCTAGTATTAAAAAATTATGCTGGGGCTAATAGTTTTTACAACTGAAAAAAAAAAAAGGACACCAATTAAAAAAAGAAAAAGATACGATGCTTACCTGCAGCATTGACGATTCTGTTTGCTCTCACTGATCCCTGTGGTGTGTCCACATCCCATGTCCCATCCAACCTGGGTTTCAGAGAAGTCACTGGGGCAGGATATTTTAAAAGGGCCCCGTATTTCCTAGCCCCAGCCGCCAAGGCCATAGTAAGAGAATAAGGATCGATGTGACCATCTCCAGGATTATACAGTCCAGCCAAAATCTAAATCAATCATAAAAGAATCAATATTCACATAACTCTGTGCTTATTACACAGCGTAAACATATCCTTCCAGCAAGTACTCATAGAGCTGCGTTCAGCAGTGCATCTGGGCATCAGATTGGTCAGTCTGCACTTCCTTTTCCTGCATTGAATCAGACGTAGGAAAAATTCACATCAAGAGTTAAGCAGACAGGCTATCTGATAGAAGCTTGCCATTGTCTTGTTCCTCCATGTTCCTCTCCTCCCACAACAATGGAACTATTATAAATCAATACTATTAATCTAGTTTTGTTTTTGTTTATCTATTGCTCTGTTGTGATATTCAAGCTGCTGGGTTCGAGACTCAAACTGCAGTCGGTCATGTGGGAATCCAGCTACATTAACTACCATGACACCTGCTGGCCCACCACAGTGTTTATTTGGACATTCGGCCTACCTAATACAGCTTCCAACCTTCTCGGCAGCTAACGCTATTACTAAGTTCTGGTCAACAACAATGTAAATGAAAGTGTCATGTGGCAGCTTTCAGGAGTCGTTTTAAAAAGATAGCTAGCTTATGTTCTCTGCCTTTTCTTCTTTGTCGCTGCCTCCATCTTGCTCTCTGGGAAGCAGGCAAGATGGCTGGAGCCCTAAGTGCCATCTCAGAGTAAGAACATGAGGCCAACATAGGAACACAGAGTAGTGATCTAGAAGGCGATTGGCCCCCTGAAATTGGCACGAAAAAGAGCTACTAGTTAAGGCCATTATAGATACATAATGTCAGGAAGATTTATACTTGATACATCACTTAACTAATTTTTGAATACCTACACAAAGTAGGCTTCAGGCTAGCTACCGTGGAGGAAACAAAGAATGAAACACAAAGGAATTGATAGAGCAAACATGGTAGACTACTATAATCACATCTCATCTAATCATCAGAAATCTACGGAGCACCGAATATAAACAAGGAGCTTCTGTCAAATATTTTTCCTGCCTCTCCTGAAATGACTGGGTAGCTTTTATCCTTTATCTTACCAAGGTAGTGTTATTACACTGATTGATTTTTAGACGTTAAACCAATTCTGCATTCCTGGGATACATTCCCCTTGGATATGCTGTACAATCTGTAGGTTGAATCAGTTTGTTAGTATTTCATTGAGAATTTTTGCATCTACTTCCATAAGAAATAATGGTCTTTCTTTTCTTGTGATATTTTTGTATGGGTTTGGTGGCAGAGCGATATGGGTCTCACAGAGTAAGCTGGGAAGTGCTCACTTCTACTGGGTCATCGGAAAAGTCATAATGTATTTTTCTATGCCTTTTTAATGCAAAAATGACTTTTCCAATGACCCAATATTTTGGGGAGAATTTGTGAAGAGTTTGTATGCATCATTTAAATGTCTGCTAGAATTCACCAGTGATGTCATTTGTGAAGCTTTTCTTTGTGGGAAGTTTTAATGAAATCTTTTAACTTATCATAGGTCCCTAGGGAAAGGGACTTTTTATGTTAATGAAATTCATGTCCCTGAAGACTTTCCAAATGTCACACTGGTGCTCTGTAATGGACATGCCCTCACTGTGGGGATCCCATATCTGTCTATATGTCACACTACCCCAGATCCAGAGAACACCCTTCACAGGGACTGTCACTGCCTAATGCCCTCGAGAAAACTCTGTGATGGTGAGAACTTCCAGCAAAATATTCTGGGGTTGACTATAAACAGATCAATGATGCAAGCCCTCTGGGATCAGAACTACTGCAGTGTTCACCACCAGGGAGACAAAGCAGCTGCTTCCCCAAAAAGCTGGTATGCTTGGATGGTATGCACAATACAATGGGGCTGGAGAGCCTGGGTTCAAATCTCTGTTCCAGCTCTTGCTAACTGAACACACTTGAGCCTACTAGGTAAACTACCTAAGCTTCAATTTCCCATTTAGTAATAATAATACTCCATAATATTATCATGAAGATTAAATGAAATTATGCATGGAAAGGACATAGCACACTACCTGGCTCATAGTTACGTGCTGCAATAAATGTTAGTCATTGTTACTATTACACAAAAGAAATTATCACCCAGTAGGAAAACCACTAAACTCCCTGTTAAGTGGATTCTTGGGCAGATCTGATATTAACCCTCATCCATACCTGGCCTGCGTCTAAGAGAAGTACACCTACGAGCTAGGTGACACTTGTGGAATAACACAGCATTTTTTTTTTTAGTCCCTCCCCCCACCCCATAGGGCATATGCACTTGCTGGAGAGAGACAGTGGGTAAGAGAGAAATCGCCCCACCCCCAGGAGATGACCACACTGCAATCCCTTCTCCATTTTCCTCCTGGGATTTTGGGCATGCACGCATATGAGCCTGGCATGATTTTTAAGCTGCCAGGTCCAGGACTCAGACCACAGTCAGGTGAAAGTCCAGCTCAGTAACCACCACACTATCTGCTGGTCCTGGCAGCACAATGCTTCCTGACTTGATTTTTTAAAAATCTTAATAACAAAAATCTTTCCAGACACATGTTCATCTTACCAGGTGTCATTCTCTCTGCAGTTCTCAAACAGAAGGTTTATGTATAGACCTTTTAGATCTGGGAGACACAGTAAAAGAAAGGTATAAAAAAGGTTCCTTCAGTTGTCATAGGTAGAGAGCTAATAAAAACTCTCACTGTCTTTTCATATTTCACTCAGCAAACCTAACAGCCCTCCTTGTAATTTACCCAAATTCCAGGATTAATCTTCTAACTTTACTATTCACAATGTATGTACAGTTTCTCTATTTTAAATGAACTTTTTAAAGTAACATTTTCTAATTTAAGTAACATCGGCAAAATTTAAGTCAGCAAATGGTAAGAATGCCCGTAAGATAAATACCTTGTCCATGTTGAGTAAAGGGAACATCTCTTGAATTTTTTCAGGTTCAATAATGTATTGTTCTGTTGCATGCCAGCCAGTTCGAGTCATCTGATATTTAAATTCATCTACCCTTACAGGGGTTGTAGCAATTCTGATACTGCCTGGCTGATGGAAGCCCACCACCTGTGGTAACAATTCCAATAAAAGCACAGGAAGAGTCATTGTTAGGCGAGCCAACGGGGCTCTTCTCCAGCACAGTGAAAATGAAAGTGGACGAGAAAAAAGATGCAGCAAAAGCGATAACTATATAAAATATTCACATCTTTAAAAATGACACTCACTCAGCAACTTTTACTGAGTGCTTCCTCTGCGCCAGGCACTGTGCTAAGCCCCAGAGATGTTAGCAAGAGAAGCAAAACCCCTGTCTACATGGAACTTGCAATCTACAGGGAAAGACCACTAAAGGCAGAATTTATAACAAGGGATGTTGCTATGTCATGGAAGAACATTGTATGAAAAAGAGAAACACAGAGGATTTGAGGTTTTTAAAGAATCAAAATGTTGCCATGATGAGATTAAGTCTGAATCGAATTAAATATTCATTTGACACTTACTGGAGCCCTTCAGTTTGCCAAGCACTCAGGCCTGCCCTGGGTTACAGAGAAAAAAGATGCAGTCTTCAAACTGCTCTTAATCTGTAGGGAAGACCAATGAGCAAAGCAGCAATTACCACAGAGAGGGATCGATGCTGTAAGCAGCGTGTGTGTGCACAATGCTCTTAGAACCAAGAGATGAGCAACACAGCCTGGCCTGAGAGGCAGGTGAGGAAAGTTGAATAAGGATTCACGAAGGGGGCACCCCCTATTCGGGGAAGAGAGCAGGTGAATGCTGATGGGGGTTAGGGAGAATGCTGTTTCAGGCAGAGGAAGTAGCAGAATAAATGGAAAACAACACAAATAGGAAATAGTTATTTGAGAGAGCTCAGCATATTCCAGAACTATACATAATTGAGAAAAGCTAAAGCACATGAGTTAGAAGAGTGGCAAGAGAAAATGTTGGAAAGAAAATCAGGGGTCAGATGTTGATGGACCAATACTCCTAAGGCCATGTTAACCCTTTGGTCTTTATTTTATTTTAGAAAAGACTTTTGCTATACAGTGTGTGCGTTCACTGGAAAGACAGAGATAGAAAGAGAGAAATAACCCTCCCCCCAAGGGAATGTCCATGCCACAATCCCTTCTCCTCCATTCTCCTCTTGGAGTTTTGGGCATGCACATGTGCTTGCCATGATTTTTTCAAGCCACCAGGTCCAGGACTCGAACTGCAGTTGGTCATGTAGGAATCCAGTGCCTCAACTGCTATGCCACCTGCTGGCCCCAATCTTTTGGTTTTCATAGGTGTTTATAGATTGTGGCAAGAGAAATAGCATCAAAATTTTAAGGGGACTTCAGTCTTGGCCTATGGATACTCTTTTCCCAATGCCTTATTTCAAGAATACTAGTAAATATGAGAAGGAAAGAAATAACAGGGAGGGCTTTTAGTGAAGTTCTTTGTGAAGCCACGAGATAATCCAGCACATGCTGTCATCTGACCCTTTGCCATCCAATGCCAAAAGATTGATTTCTTAGTTTCTAGATAAACTAACTTTATTCTTTCTTGACTTAAAAAATCAAGAGTGGCTGACTACATGGGTAATGCAGTTCAAGACATAAAATTAATCTTGAAGCAAACGCAGAAGTCCTGAACCTAAAGCCCATCACGTGTCACCACAGTAGATAACATGTGTGCCGTTGATGTCACTACACACAGCAACACGTCAGGACGTGCCAATAGCCTTAAGCTCAGCCAACCGACAATTTCACGTTACACACACATACCTGCCCAGTTTCTTCTTCCAGTCTCTCATAAAGTTTGATGCTATCATAATGTATTTTCTTCAAGTTAATTCCAGGATGAAAGTAAGTTGTTAAACCTGCCTTAAAAGAGAGGAGAAAAGGAAATGCCTAAATGAATAAATGAATAAATAAATGAACATTCTCACAATGTTATAGTTTATCTGTTGAGCTATCATTTAATTTAAGGCTTGCAAGAAACTGAGATGCACCAGCCAGTTGTTTGAATGAGAAGACATTCACGCCAGTTGGGGCACACCAGAGCAGAAGGCCCATAATTAAGGCTACAAGAAGCAATTTAAACCAAAGTGTGTAAAGTGAGAACCAGCTGCTGAAACTTGAGTTCCTAAAAGTAGGTAGGGAAAAAGTTGTTTGAAGATTGAGAATGGGATGATTTGGATGGAAGGCTTAGGTAGACAGGCTATTGGGAAGAGTAGGATGGATGGCTTCAATGTGGACTTAAGCTAGCAAACCATGGATATGCTCCCTAAGCGGAAGGACCATGGCTAGCCAGGGGTTTTCCTTGACCTAAGACATGAAATTTTCCTTAAATGGAAATTCTTGAAATTGCAAAACCCAAGAATTAGAAAATTCTTTGTAATTAGAGCCTGTTGAATACGTGAACAAATTTTTGTTGAAGCTTAACTACTTTGATGAGCACATACGTGGTACCCCACAAATATTGAATAAATATTAATTACTCTCAGAAAACATCTAAATATTAGCCACATCATGTCTGCCAAATGCAATGTAGCATTCACATGAAGAATTTAAGCAATTATATCAAGCAAGTTGTCTTAATGAGGTATCTGGGGCCTCATTTTGCAGCTAATTTATCCTGAAAACCTCATCAGAACACAATCTGTTCAAAATAAAACCTATTTAGGAATATTGATAAGGTAATTTTATGGTGGTAGTGGGCATTTGGTTCTCTTGAACTCAAAACACTCAATTAAAGTTTGTCAATCATTCTCTATGAAACTTCTTGAACCCTAGGGCTTCTAGATAATATTGTTCAAGCATCTGGATATATGCATGGATTTTTTTTTTCTTGGGAAAATCTTGGTCCGGTTTTAGCCTGTCCTTATAGCTTCATGCTTTCATTATGATAAAACGGCAGGTCAGGTGTTTTTGACTTCATGTCAAACACTTTCCTACTTTAAAAATGTTTGGTATTCAGCATGCACGTGAACTTTTCTGGTTCCATAGTAGAGAATTCCTAGTCTTCAATTATTTGCTAGTGATCCCAATTTTATCTACAATAATTCTCCTATCAGTTGACAAAACTGATATTCATGACACTGGCCAAGGGTTCTGACCCTCATTGCTCCTCAGGACACTCTAAGCGTAAGCCAGACCACTAGAAGGTTGTATTATTCATCTATTCTATATAATCCTCTTCTTTCCCACCCCAGAAGCTATGAGTTCATTCTAATTCATCTGAAAGGGTCACTTGGGATCATTCTTATAAAACTGTCATTGAAGACACCTAGCCCAGTGAACTTTGCCTAAGGAACAAAGTTTTGTAGACATTCATGGTCGAGGAAAAGTTAGTTTCCCTTACTAAGACAGTAATACCTGTTTCTGCCAAGCAACTCATACTAACCCCTTTTCCTTGCTTCTAGGACAGTCAGAAGTAAGATATCACCAAATTTCTCAGTCAGGCATAAAAATTACTTAACTCGGGCGGCCAGCCTGTGGTGTGATGATTAAGGTGCTAGATTCCATATGGCCATCTGTGCAGTTCAAATCCTGGACCTGGCAGCCTAAAAAACATGTCAGGTACATGTACTTGCATGCCTAGAATCCCAAGAGGAGAGGAGAAGGGACTGTGGTGTGGTCATCTTCCCTGAGGGATGCTTTCTTACTTTCTCCTTCTCTCCCTTCTCTGTCTCTCTCCATGAGCAAACACACTCTATGGCAATTTTTAAAAAAAGATAGAAATTAAAATAAACTTATCAAGAATTTGCAAAGCAGTAAAACAGTGTGGAGAGGAAATTTATGGCACTGTATGCATATTTTAGACAAAAGGATCTTGGTACATATCACTTTAGTAAGAAAATACAAAAATAATACCATTTCCCAATATCCCTTTTCAAAATGATTTCTTCCCAAAAGGACTATTTAGCAAAAAAAACAGTTATTTTACACTTACTGTAAGCATCACATTCACTCTGAGGTGATAGACTGCATCTCTCACCATATGTATGTGTATGTATATATATATATATTGTTGTTGAAAAGTTATGATGTATTTTTTCTAAGTAAAAATGTGCATGACTTTTCTGACAATCTAACCTATCCAATATAGCAATATATATATATATATATGTATATATATATATATATATATATATGTGCCATGCAGAAATGACCAGCAACTTTGTATCATTACAAAGGCCAGCAAAATTGGGGCACTTCTCTGTAGAAAACCCTAATCTCTAAGTTTCACAACTCCTTTACTCATTGCTAAGAGATGACCAACAAACCACTGTGCAATACCATGCTCCCACATTCCCACTTCCTCCCTTTTATTACATGTTACACCAACTGAAGCCCCGTTTCTATAAAACCAATCAGGACAATGACCCCCTGTAGCATGTAGTCTGCGCTGCTGTCATATGCTGAAGACGAGAGAATGAGGACTCTCGTACCAACCTCCCCTTAGTCAGCCCTGGAATCAAACACAGCATGCTGCCCACAGCAGCGTGAAGGCTATTTATAGATACGAGTCATTGCTTTCTTACATTTGTAGAATAAAACAAATGGAAAGTTGTAGTACTGTCTTCCTCTACTCCAAATAGATCATGTTGCATATTTAGTCTCCAAAATAACCCACTTTGGCACCACTTAGAGGTGGCTTCTCCTGGGAACTCCATGTTCCAAAACCGCCTCTCACTCCCTCCTTTCCCTTTCCCTTCACCCCCTACGAAACTCTCCATATTATTAGGAGTGCCACGTGCTGACCAGGCAGTCCTGTTAAAAAAACAGCAAACCCTCAGGGTTCATGGATTTGTGATTTTTGTCTTGAATATTCACTCTGCAAGCTGCTGCTTCCTGCTCTGTCCAGACACTTAACACTGAGCACATACTGGACTTCAGTGAGACTGCCTTATTTGTAGTCTACCCCTTCTCCTCCCTTCCATGTCCTCTTAGCTGCTCCAAACTTGTCTGTGCTAAACGTTCTGCTATACGGGATTCTTCATGCTGCTCTTCAGAGGCAGGCTTCTTTGGCTGTGAAAGTCCTAGAATCATCTTGCAGCACAGTTCTCTTAGCTTTTTTCCTTTATTCCAAACGGGTAACATACTTGGCTTCTGGTGTCTGATTCCACCTTGAACTCACGCTGCATGAATCCTCACTTTCTAAAGCACAGCACAATACCTTGTCTACAAAGCAGGGTAATGCCTTCCCCCTCACTTTTTATCATTTTGCTAAGGGAAAATAATTGTGCATAGTTAACTTTTAAACCAAAATTATTGCCTTAACAACTTTGCCCACTTTTACTGAAAAAAACTTAGATAAAGATTATACAGCTTTTTTTTTTTCTGTTTTGTTTTGTTTTTGAAAGATTTTTGCTATAGGGCATGCGCACTCACCAGAGAGACAGAAAGTGGGAAATCACCTCCCCAGGGGCAATGGCCTTACTGCAATCCCTTCTCCTCCATTCTCCTCAGAATTTTGGACACACACACACACACACACACACATGGACCCAGTGTGAGTTTCAAGCTGTTGGGTCCAGGTCTCCAGCTGTGGCCGACCATGTGGGAGGCCAGTACCTTAACCACTACACCACCTGCTGGCCCCACCTTTTGAGCCAGGGATGTTAAGAAGGAACATCCTGGGGCATGCTGTAACCTATTCCAAAATGCAGGCCATGTCACATAAGTAAATCCAACATTAAGATGTCTGCCCTCCTTACCAATCTGGAAGTGGTGGAGGATCCTCTCAGGATCTTTCCACCTGCCTAAATTTCCCTCTGCCTAAATGTTCTTATCTGGTAGCCCCATCTCACTGCTTCTGTCCACAGGGCAGGGGTTCTATCTGTCCCTGTGGTGGTCTCACTTCCTAGATCAGTGCTGGTCCAATGTGGCCCAGTGCAGTCTCTACATTTACATCTGCTGAAGGGGACTGAACACACTCTAAGGAAAGGCTATGGGAAAGCCAGAGGAGAAACACAGGCTTTCTTTCACAGGATAGCATGAAGCCTCCACGTCGTACCTAGCTCGGGAAAGGGAGGAGAGCAGGCCTGCTGGTGAAGACTCTGGAATTGAATGCCCTCCACACTGAAGAAATGAGGGGCTGGAGGGAGAGGAAAGAGGAGACAGGAGTTGGGTAGGAGGGAGGCTGGTACTATTTTTCTAGGAGCCTCTGGCTGACCCGCAGGTGTGGCCTGGCTATGTGACCACTGGGCCTCGGGGCCTTGGAGGCTCAAGTCCAGGAGCACCGTCCCATAGACTCAGCTGGGCAGGCTACCCTGTTTGTGTGCTAGGCTCCCTACAACCCCCTCCCTCCCCCCCCCCACGAGGCACCTGAACAAGTGCTAAATATAAAAACGCCTCTCAAAGCTGTGCTTCCTCTTCTGCCTAGAGGAAAGCTGATGACAAAAGGGACAATGATCGAACACTGCCCAAAACAAAACTGTAGCAGCAGTCGGGAAAACTTTCTCGGGACCCTCCGAGACTTCAGCAATCACTGGGTTGGCGCCATGAAAGCAGGGTCAGTCACCTCATTTACCTGCAGCGCTGGAACTTAATGTATAACACCAACTACCCATGACTGACTCGGACTTGCACTTTATTTAACAAAAACCTGCGCACATTCATAGTTCCTCACGTTTTAAGTCCTCAGAGGCCAAGTGTGTCTCACAGGACAGAATTAAAATTGTAAGTAAATAAAAATAAAAGGACCAGTAAATACTTGTGAGGCTTTAGGCCCACACTGAGCATCACCCAGCCAAGATTCTCCGATACAAAAGCTAGCATCCATTTACCCATTTATTTATGTCTCATGTATGTATTTGATAGTGTGCTCGTGCACATGTAAGAGAAAGAAAAAAAAAAAGCACCCTCGAAAGGGTCTCATCACCCTGCCCCTCTTTC